AGCGCCGCCGCACTTCCCAAGCGGCGCACTGTAGCAGTGCGCCACCGGGCCGGCCCCTGTTGGTGTCCTTTGAAGCACAGAGTTTTTAATTTCATGATGTCCAGGTTATATTTTTGTTGCTTGTGTTTTGGTGTCATGTCTAAGAAATCATTGCTTAATCCAAAGTCACAAAAATTTACATCTGTACTTTCCTCTAAGAGTTTATAGTTTTATCTGTTATATTGAGGTCTTTGACCCATTTTTGGTTGATTTTTGTATATGGTGTGAGGTAGGGGTTCAAGTGTATTCTTTTGCATGTGGATATCCAGTTGTCCCAGGACCATTTGTTGAAAACACAGCTCTTTCTCCCATTTAATTGACTTGGCATCCTTGTTGAAATTCAATTGACTCTAAATGTGAGGGTTTATTTATTGACTCTGAATTCTATTCCATTGTTTTACATATCTATCCTAATGCCAGTATGCTGTCTTGACCGTTGCAGTAAATTTTGAAATTGGAAAGCGGGAGTCCTCCAACTTTCTTCTTTCAGTTTTATTTGTTTTGATTTCAATTTTTAAGGATTGGGTTTTTAAAATTTAATTTTATACTTATATAAAATATTTACATGGTTCTAAAGTTGGGTCTACAAAACAAGCTATATCCAAAGACATCTCACTTCTATTTCTATCCCCTTTCTCCTATCCCTTCCTTGCCCCTATAGATGACCATCTTTTTAAAAAAAATGATTTACCTGTCTGTTTCTAAAAATAAAAGAAATTATGTGTACATGTCTATCACATATATGTGTGTGTATCCCTATCTTGTCTTAGATAAATGGTAGCATACTATTTATATCTTTTCCATCTTGCTTTTTTGACTTAACAGTATATCCTGGTGATTACTCCATAGTAATATGTAGAGATACTCACTGTTCCCTTTTGTAGCTGTATACTATTAGATTGTGTACTCATTTACTTAGCCAATCCTCTGTTGGGATTATTTCTGGTCTTTTGCTATTACAAATATTTCTGCTGTGAATAGCCTTCTGCATGTCTTTTTATATATGTTTTTCAGTGTATCTGTGGATAAATTGAAAGTGGGATTACTGGATCAAAGGTTAAATGCATATGTGATTTTGTTAGATATTGCAAAATACCCCTCCACTGGAGTTGTGCCATTTTATAATCCCACCAGCATTGTATGAGTGTGCCTTTTTCCCCACAGTCTTGTTATCATAGCATGTTATCTTACTTTTGTATTTTTTCCCATCTGATAGGCAAGAAATCGTATCTTTGTGTGGTTTTAATTTACAGATCTTATGAACAAGGTTGAGTATTTTTTTCATATGGTTAAGAATCATTTGCATTTCTTTTGTGAACTCTCATAGGTCTACCCATTTTTATATATGGTATGTTAACATTTTATCACGTATATATCAATGCTTTACATAGTTGTAGTTTACTGGTCTGAGAGACCGTTTGTAATAAAAAGTCTGAGTCTGTTTTTGACATGTGATTGCTAACAGTTTTTAAGCCTCACCCTCCCTCTTCATCTTCTGTAGCACATGTGGATCCCAGGCAGATCTGGACATGGCTTAAGAGAGCAAGGAAAGTAGACTGGATTGGGGTTTTTATGGAGGTTTGGGGCTGGGGCTGGGATGACGGTTCCAGCGCATGGTTTGACCTTCCTGTCAGCAGTAAAAGAGGGAGCGCTTGGGTTTTCTCCTCAGCTTCTTTCTTTGGCAGGAGGCAGCTAGGCCACAATTGGACTTGTTAGCTGTTGGCTTCCTAATGAGCTATTCCTAACTTCTCTGGGACACTATGGTTCCACAATCTCTCTACTGTTTGAAGGCCAGGCCAGGGCTCTAGCTGTGGGTTTGGATCTAGGGTGCTTTGAAGAAAGGAGGTCAAGGGGCAAAATGAAGAATGAGATGAGGGGAGAATGTCTTTATATCTATAAAATTGCTAGTAAATAGGCTTGCAAGATATTTCTGACAAATGTTTGACAAGATGGATGCATTAGTGACCAAGAGTCATGTGTCAGCATTAGTCCCAGGATACTTTTGGGAAGAAGGCTCATTGGTTTATAGGGTACTTTTGCCTTAGATCCTTACTAATCTATCAGAGTAAAATAAGTCTGCTTTAGGGTCTATTATAATACATTGTTTTAAGGCCAGTTAGAAGACTTGTGATTGCCCTGGAAAGAGTTTTGACTTTTATCAATTTAGAACAGAACTAGGGACTTTGATTTGACTATTCTTTGTTTTAGAATTGAGGCTTTTGGACTGTGAAACTGTGTTGAGAGCTGAAAGCATAAAAAAATTCAATCTCAGTAAGGTCTAACATTTCAAGTGCAGCTGGGACTTGGCAGCTATATAATATGTAAAATGGAATGATTGGCTGATTTCAGTTGATATAGGTAAATTTACAATGAATAAAAAAAGGCTCCTGGATAAGTTTCTCAAAGAACCACTGTGAGATCCTAATCTCACCAAAAATCTTTCCCAAGATGTCTATCTTATCTTTGTGTGGTAGGATTAATGGTGTTAATTTTCTTCTTTTTGTTCAATTTTCTACCATGACTGTGTATTACTTTTCCACCTTTTCATTGTAGGTGCCTGATTTATACTTTAATAATTTTAAAATTTGTCTTTTGAGTTTTTAGTAAAATTTTGCAGATTTTGGTAAAAATGAAGCAGGAATTAATTTATATGATTTGCATTTGTCGTGAGTATTATGTTATTGCTTCTTTTGCCCTATTCTAATTTGTCTGTTTCTATGTCGCTTTAAGGCCCATGATTTATAGTTACTTTGAGGCATAAATATGTTTGTAGTTATATGGTAGAAATTGCTGAATGAAAAAATTGTGATTCATTTGTATATAAATGTAAAAGCTGCTCTAGTTTAAGTAATTAATGGTTTATTTAAACAATGGCTCTTGACAGGTTCTGTAGCCAAGAACTTCTTCACCAAATCAAAGCTTTCCATTCCAGAACTCTCCTATATATGGTAAGTACAGCTAATGACATATAGTATCGTACTATCATGCATACCCATTCTTTAGCTTCTCCTGCCTTTGCATTTTTAAAAGTCTTATTATTATTATTATTTTTTTTAAAAAGTTGACCAGTGAGGGGATCTTAACCCTTGACTTGGTGTGTTGTCAGCACCATGCTCTCCCAAGTGAGCCATGGGCTGGCCCAAAAGTCTTATCTTTTTTATTTTTATTTTTATTTTTATTTTTATTTTTTGTCTTTTTTTTGTCTTTTTCCGTGTCCGGCAACGGATCGCAACCCTCAGTGTTGCCCCCGTACCGGACCGGGGACCGGCAACGGGATCGCAACCCTCGGCGTCGCTCCCGCGCCTCGCTCAGCCCTGAGTGGTGGCAAGAAAAAATGATTTATATTTCCTTATTTATAATCTGTATTTTCACATTTTTATAGTGAGTATATACCGTTTTATAATCACAATGTTTCTTATATAAGGAAGGCACAGGATCGTAAAAGTTGATTATATATACAACTGGTCTAACGCCGCCGCGCTTCCCAAGCGGCGCACTATCCAGTGCGCCACCGGGCCGGCCCAAAAGTCTTATCTTTTGAATGATTTTTTTTAACAGACAAAGAGAGTGAATAGAACCCAGATTTTTGTTTGCTGTGAAGATAAAATAAGTTGTATGAAAATCACAATAACCAATGCCTGTCACATACTGAGCACTATAAATGTTATCTATTATTTTAAAGTAATTTCCTAATTATTATCCCCATCTCAATTCCTTTTCAGTCCAGGCAATTATGGGTATATGAGACTTTCCATCTTGTATATTTTATTTTCAGATTTTCTGCTCAGTGTGATGCAAGTGACCAGAGGACCTTGAAAAGCTATTCTGTATAATGTTTTATAAGGCTGGGTGAACAGAAGGTTCAGGAATATTTTGGAATTAAATTGAATTTGACAATTCTAGCCGCCTCTGAGCTTCATAAATTTGGCTGATGTTTGTCAACTGGGCCCTAATTCAGACTTGCAGCTGCGGCATCCACTGCATCTTGCTGCCTCGCCTGCCACGGCTCTGGCTCCAGAAAGGCTGTGATGGCGTGGCCCAGATGGCTCTATTTGCATTTATGGAAATGCTCAGTGCTGCCGTAAACTCCTGGCTGTGTGTGGGCTAGTTCTTCTCCAGGACTGGCGGGAGATTGTGCTGCTATAAATATGTAATTAAAACATTAGAATATTTATGTAAAGCTTTTTTTATGAGGATTTATCAAAATTATGATAGGCTTTGAAATTGCTTGTCATGTTTTGTGCATCTTATTGGAAAACTTCCAATAATACTCGAACATGTCAATGTATCTGGGCTTCTGAGTTGGGTTTAGGTTCTTTAACAGGATACTCTGGCATGATTTTTTTTTTTTTACAATAAGCTTTATATTAGATTTTAAAGCTGGGGGTAGGGAAATTACCATTTTGAAAAGAAAATAATTTGTTTTGGCAGAATTCCCAGTCTTAACGTTATTGGCATGAGGCTTCCTATCTTTTTGTCAAGACACATCCATGAAAGCCAAATGGCATTCTCTCCATCCAGTATTTAGAGTGGTTCTCTGACTCCTCACCATTGAGAGCGGCTGTTTTAGGGCTGGTGCATTCTAAATTGGAGGAGGCAGAATAGGATGTGAATGGTCCAAAGGAAAGTTAATGGAGCTCACCTTAGAGATATTTTTTCTTTCCAATAGTAACAACTTTCTAGTACATTTTTGTATCTCTATGCTTGTCCTAATACAGGTATACTTGTCTCTGTACACGTAAGAGATAGTTGAGCTTTTGGGGTCTTAATTACTTTGGCAAATAGGTTTCTTTTGTGCCAAGTAAATAGGTCTGTGTCTTTGAGTGGGAAACAATGACTGAAGTGAAGATAAGCCTTTTCAGGACTCTCCCTTTCTTCCTTTTCATCTTATCTGGTTCCAGCCTTTTCTAATTGCTAGTTTTATCTTAAAACATAATTCAGTCAATATTTATTGAGCTTACTTATATTTTCCCAGGAGGGAATTCTCAAGCAAAGGACAATTTGATACAAAAATTTATATGACTTGAAAAGTTCGTTTTCTCTTAAAGCTAAAATATGAACTGCTAATTTCTGTGCTCTGGGTAAACTGCATAATGGCTGGGACAGCTGTAAAATGGCTGGGTCCACCCTTCCTTTGCCTGTTTGGAGCACCAAGTCCTGGCTCTTCACACCACATAGACCGCACTTATTGACTGTGGAGCTATCTGTGGAATTCTGGCCTTCATTTTTCTTTTTGTGCTATAAAGTCATCCCTCAGTATCAGCGGGGCATTGGGGGTGTGGGGGTGTGGGGATGTGGGGATTGGTTCTAGATCACCCTGCAGATACCAAAATCCATGGATGCTCAAATCCTTGACATAAAATGGCGTAGTATTTGCATGTAAACTACATGCATCCTCTAGTATACTTTAAATCATTTCTAGATTACTTATAATACCTAATACAATGTAAATGCTATGTAAATAGTGGTTATATTGTATTTTTTAAATCTGTATTTTTATTGTTGTATTGTTTTTTTGGAATATTTTCTATCTGTGGTTGGCAGAATTTGCAGACGCAGAAGCCTGACTGTAGTTTCTTGTCTCATGTCCTCAGTGTTGTAAAACAGACCAACCAGAGAACCTGAAGAATTTAAATTTTAATTTATAAAATGCTGTTGATGCCAGTGCTGTCTGTCGATCAGTATTTTTTTTCTGAGTGGTACCTTGAGATTTCAAATGAGCTTGACCAGGAGGGTTTGGAGACTCTGTAGGGCCACCACCAGAGAGCCTGGGAGTTGTGTTTGCATGCTTGAGGCTGAGTAACCTTTCCTCTAAGTCCTGTGGTAGGTACTCATGACATTTGTTATATTTAGGGAACTTAGTGATGCTGACTGCGATGGAGCCCTGACCCTGCCTGAGTTCTGTGCTGCGTTTCATCTCATTGTGGCCCGGAAGAACGGCTACCCGCTACCTGAGGGTCTGCCTCCAACTCTGCAGCCAGAGTACCTGCAAGCAGGTAAGGCCTCATCATAAATTGTAAACCTTAGGCACTTTCCATCCGGACCTTATAAGAACTTTTGTCTCTTAAAATGGTGTTCAGACACTTTGGGGAGACCTTGCTATCTACAGTTATTTTTCTTTAACCAATATTAATTAGACTTTTGTGTCTCATAATGTGAGTAATAGGGCTGATCTGCATAAGTGTGAATCATCTGTTATTCCCATAAATCCTCACAAAAATTTAGTGCCCTCTGGATTGCTTTGAACCAATGTCGTTGAATCTTTCGTGACAATTGTGGAATAGGCAAGTACTGAATCTCCCAGCTGATATGAAATGAAGAGGAAGATCTTGAAGAGCCAAGTGATGACTCAGCATCTTTGGCACATCCCAGTGTCTCTAACTGGCCTTAGGTAATAGAATGGGATAGAACTCTTATACCTAATCAAAAGGTTTAAAAATTACATGCACTGTAATGTGCAAAATGCTGTAATGTTAGATGTACATGACGAATTTTTATATATGTATGTACCTATGTAAATATAATCAGATAAAGATACAGAACATTCTAGCACACCAGAAGGTTGGAATAGAACTCTTTCTGTCTTTCTCCTTAATAAAAGTCACCTCCACACTACTGTTTTGAATCCTTTGGACAGTAAAGAGTCTTGGTGAATCCAATATTTGTATCACTTCCTTCAGAAGATTGTAAAAAAAAAATAATAGTGTCTCTTACCTTTTCAAATGCAGTGGGCACTGGTCTGATTTCCATTATTCAGTGAATAATGTAGTTTCCATTGAAAGGGTCCAGAAATAGCTGGTGCTTTCAACAACTTTCTCACTTTTTAGAGAAGGGCCCTTGCAAAAAATGAGAGCCTAGTCATGGGTGATTATTGGCAAGAGGGAGCAGTGCCTAAAGAAACTATAATTACTTATAGATCTCTGACTCTGTTAAACAAAAAGTCAGTCATTTTCTGTATTAGGTAGTGAGGGGGTAGGGTCTCAAACAAAAGGAAGAGACCAAGTCTGTGGCTGGTGCCAGTGACAGGTAAACATGTTGGAGGAAGAGTGACCCATTCTGGGATCTTCCTCAAATGCCCCCATGAAATGTATGAAGGGAAGAGTTCAGAGAGCAAAAACTACTACTAATTTCAGGGCTTGGAGTTTGCTAATAACAGTTGCTTTCTGCCTATGGCAGGCTGTAACTCTAGCCTGCTAATCTTCTTTAGGGGCTGGGGAAGACGCTCTTGGGTCCCAAAGAATTAGCTTGCAATTGGGAAGCATGGTAGACTGCTCTCATTCCTTTCTGGTGTCTATCTGTCTGTCTTTCTCTTTCTGTTTCTCCTGGATTGAAGCAAAGAAGCACTGACAATTCTGGGGCTATCCTGATGACTGCATGGCTTCCATTACCAAGGCAGTGCAGGGTCGTAGAGGAACCCCTTCTCTTGGGAGTAGAGCCACATGGGGCTGTTTTCTCTCTAATTGGGATTAATGGGGGGCCAAAGGGTCAGTGTATTAGTCTTTTTTGTGTTGCTGTAACAAAATACATGGAACTGGGTAATTTATAAGAAAACCAAATTTATTGCTTACAGTTTCTGAGGCTGGGAAGTCCAAAGTCCATGTGGTGGTGGCAACAGTGACCCAGAGGTATCACATTGCACGATAGTGGAAGCAGAGAAGAGAGTAAGAGAGAGAGAAAGACAGTTTCTCCTCTTCTCCCAAAGCCTTCAGAACCATGCCTCTGACCACCATTTTTAATCCATTCACTACTGCATGGTCCTACAATCCAATCACCTCTTCAGGGCTCCACCTTTCAATTACCATAATAGGATTTCCCACCCTCTTTACAGTCACAGTGTTTCTAATACATAAAACTTGGGGGACACAATTCAATCCACTATAGTCAGGGTCTGCTCCAGAGTTGTTTAGTTATATTTAATAGCTTCACCGTTTCTTCTTTCAAGCCCTGGGAAGAGTCTTGAGTAAGCTCATCTCCCATGCCCACACTTAATGTTGATTAATGGTGTTTTATTGTTATTGTTTGGATGCCAGATGGTCATGGAACCTATGCCACGTGTCATGACTCCTTATCTGAGAAGTCACTTCGTAGGTGACCAAGTGTTTTGTGGACTGTTTCAAAAGTCACTGATATAATTTTTAGAAATCTGAATGCCCTGAGCTGAAGTTCGTTAACAGAAGAGAACTAACTTCTTGATTCCTTTACTGCTGAAAATGGCTCTTTTTGACTTGCTTTTTCAGTAGAGGGGAGTCTGTAAGAAAGAGTGCCAATCAAGAGGCACCTCCCTTCACTTGAAATGAAGCCCCTGGTTTCTTCCTGGTCTTTTATGGAGACTGTCAGCACGCATTGATACAGAAACAACTGAATAATCCACCGCATACCCTTAAATTAAACAAAAATTGCACATCATTTCCAGGACTTGTGGGATTAATCTTAAATAATGATTATATAGTGTTAACAGAAAACATGAGGACCTCATAAAACCACATCAAACTCAGTGACTAGACAAACCCTGGGGGTTTTAACAGTTAATTTTAAAATGCCTTATCACCCATGTTTATCTTTGTATGAAGCTCATGAAAATGGCCAGAACCATCTAGGTCTTCCCTGTGCTTTTAGAGTCTTTGTAAAATATGAGTGGTGCTGTTTATTTTTTTTTATTCACTTTTATGGCATCCCATTTAGCTTTTTAAAAAAATGTTCTGACATTTTTCTAATTGATCTATATTCATTTTGTAAAAAAATCTAATCCAGTTTTCAACAAGATTGGTAACGAGTATAAATATGGTTAATACCACTATGCATTCAAAACTATACAAGCTTGTTTTCAATAAAATAATAAAACAAATTGTATCTGATGCCGTTTTACTTGTACTTACAGAAATAGTCCCTTTCCCCTAACAGTCAAAATTAAAGAACAGAGTTGGAAGTTTAAGTTGGATTATTTGGTGCTTACCCATGAGCCTTTTGATATTTTCATGTCTAGGTGACTGCTTGAATTCTGGTAGAAATTTTTGCTGTATAGCTTGTTTAAAAAAATATTTGAGTACTTACTATGTGAGAGCCACTGTGTTATTCTCTGTGGTCAGAATGCTGTATAAAACCGAGTTCCTACTCTCATGGAACTTGTGGGCAGTTAGAGGATAGATGTTAAATAAACTCACAAACATATCATTGGAGCCAGCGATAAGTGCTATGAAGAAGTACAGGTGCAGCAAGAGAGTGCATGACGTTAGGGAAGATTTCCTTAAATATTTGAGTTGAGATGTGAAGGATGGGCTAAGGACTAGTGGATGAAGAAGGGCGAAGAGAGGTTCCTGGGAAGAGTGGGCTCTGGGGAGAGGAGATAGCAGGTATGCTGGAGAGGCACTGAGAGGGGGTTTGGAGCACGGGGGGAATGGAAATTTCAGGCCACAGTGGTTAGAGTGCATAGAGCGGGAGATAAAGGGGCTAGAATGAGGCTGAAGCGGAAGGTGGGGAACACATTGTGGGCAGTAACTGTGACCTATCGTAGGCAGGGAAGTGACACAATCAGATTTGCTGTTTGAAATGATTGTGCTGGTTGTCATCCAGAGAACAGGTTTTGAGGGGCAAGGACGGAAACCTGAAGACTAAGTTGTGGAAGCAGTCCAGTCTGGAGCGTCAGGGGGCTTGCACTAGGGAGGTGACAGTGGTGATGGAAAGATGTGGACACATTGGAGAGAGGTTTAGCAGTTAATTGATGACATCTGTAGTTTTCTATGCATCAAGACCCCTCGTGATAAGGCATTAGTTGTGTAATTCTTCTCAGAGCACTGCTTGGTAGACTAGAAAGAGAAATTTTATATTGGTTAAAATTGCTCTTGGGGCTGGATTGAGGAATGGCGCTTTGAAAGGTGTGTTGCTGAGTTTTTACCGAGGAAACAGACCAGCAAGTGTGGTCAGAAAAGTCACCAGGGCCTGCAGTTTGTCCGTTTAATATTAATGTTAAATTCTGACCAGAGTAAGCAAATGAAAAAATTAAGGTGCTTGCACTCATCTCCATGTGGTAGCCGATAGTCTGCCAGTACTGTACTGCGGAGGAATGTCAGCATTTCAATCCCTGGTGGGGATGTGAGGGTGGGGAAAGATTAAAAACAATGCCAATTACTTTTCACCTTTGATTCAAACGTTTTTTTTAAAACATTGCATTAAAATTTGATTTTCTAATATCTTGTCTTAACAGATATGATTTGTAGCTTCTGTTTATTATCTACCCCAATCTGCTTTTCTTCTTCTGAATATTGACAAATTTTCTAGTGGTTGAAATATTTCTTTCTCAATTACTTTGTGACAGATTGGTGAAGCAGAATTTGCTTCTAAGAATTAGCCTGGGTATTAAGTAATTAGCTTACCAAGCAGCATGATTTTTCTTCATGCTAATTCACTCAGCTACCCAACTAACAGCCCTTGTCACTGTTGTACGTTGGAAGAAACTCACATTATTTCCTTGTTGTAAATCAGCAAGAATTTATGCTCCTATTTTTGTCATTCTTGCTATCCAAAAAGATAAATATTTTGTAGTTATCTTGGGCACACATCATTATAAGATCTTACCTGTTTATTTCCAACAAGAGCTAAAATGAAGTATTTCCTTAGTTAATGTTTATAGTATTCAAAATATCACTATAGGGCCGGCCCGGTGGCGCACTGGATAGTGCGCCGCTTGGGAAGCGCGGCGGCGCTCCCGCCCGAGGGTTCGGATCACACGCACCCAAAAAAAGCTAGTAGGGAAACTTGCCAGAATTTGAACCCAGATCTGCCAAAACTCCAAAGTCAGACCATAATTGTGTCTCCCAGTGTGTAAATATCTATCAAATACTTTGTGCACATGTGTGAACATGCCAAACTTTGAATGATTTAAGTATAACCTGTATTTTAATACTTAGGACAGCATCATAAAATTAATTTCTAAATGAATATTGAAATTTATCCAGTTTCTATGTTTAGCAATTGGTGTTAATTTACCTCTCATAAGTGCTAGAAAGGTTCTACAATACCTCCTCCAGCCCTTTTATACTATTCAAGCTTTTTATTAGCCCTAATGTTGATTGCCTTCCCAGGGCAAAAAGACAAAAACAAACAAACAAACAAACAAAAAAATATCACTATAGTTATTACTTTTAAAAATTGTGCTAATAGCATAGTTAAACTTTACATATTGTGATAATAATGGTTAATGTGGAAGACAACTACTGTGCTCTGACACGAAGTGCTAAGAGCATGTACCCTTCAGCTGTGCTGCTGGGAGTTCAAATCCTTGCTCTTCTATTTACCAGCTGTTTGACCTTGAATAAGTTGCTTAACTTCCCTGTTCTTCAGTTTCATCAGTTATAGAATGGGGATGATAAAAATACTGGGGTGTATATGTAAAGAGTTTAAAAATACTACCTCAACATGATTAGTGCCATAAATAGTATTAGGAGCTAGCTGATTTTGTTGTTATGTTTAACAAGCACAGAAAAACTGATGGGAAACACCACTGTAGACATAGTAAATATTCTTATGTATTCTTTTTGCTTCTTCTTAGCTTTTCCTAAGCCCAAGTGGGAGTGTGCATTATTTGATTCTTATTCTGGGTCAATGCCGGCAAACCAACAACCCCGTGACTTGAATCGGATGGAGGTAAAAGATCTTCATATGTTAAATAAATATGGAATTAAATCCATTAGCTTATGTTCTTTACAAACTCTGGAGATGAACTTTTATAAAATTTTCTCTTTATACTTGGTAATTACTCTGAAGCTAAGCCTTTCCAATCTAGATACTAGATGTATCTGTAATTATTTTTTTCTTTTCTCCCTAAAACTAGATTTGGTTAAGTAAATAACATAGTCTCTTGATCTTCTGGAGGTAAAATTTAGGGACAGCCAAACTGTACTAGAAAATGCTTAGCCAAGTTATTTACTTTAACCAAGCTTTAATGTCACCTCTCCCCCAGGGTGACGGAGATGGAGACTCAAAGGATTACTCAAAGCCCGTTTTTCCTGAGCAGTGAGAGGCCCAAAGGGGTTAAATCCCACGAAACGACTTCTTCAAGAGAGAGGAATTTCTGGGAAATGACCCCAAATCAAGGCTTTTCTCGGTTTTTTATTGTGCAGGCAAAAAGTTACAGAAAAGAACACAGGTGGTTAATCAGTCATAGTGAAAACATAAACAAACTGGCTACATAACAATTTTCATTAATGCAGGTGCAACTTAAAAATAGTTTAAGCAATTTACCATCAAAGGAGTCATAAAACTAAGCTATGTGACATACAAAAGAACCAATGAGATAATCGTTATGGCAACACTTAGTTCCCTAGGAAACTTAGAGAAGCAGTTGAAGGTGAAATGTGGAATCAGCCGCTAATTGGCAGAGTAGCCTTGAAGCTTTCAGTACACACATTTTCCCATAATTAGGTTTAGCTGCACCAAGGGCATCTGCCCTTAGAGCAAGCACTTATGCTGCGTTACAATTCTCATATCCCCACCAGAGACTTTTTAGTTCTGTGAAAGTCTTCTGTTTTTTCCCAAGCTTGGCATTTCTATGTGCAATACTGAAAGGTTAGGTTCTTCCTCAAACTACAAGGCTTTGGCCTTGCTAAAACTATGCTACAGCCTAAACTAAAGGGCTTTATCCCTTCTAATAGCTAAGGACTGTGGTCCTACTAAGATAAAGATCCTACTAAGCTACAGTCTGATCTAAGTACTGTGGTCCTTCTAATCTAAGGGCTGTGGCCCTACTAAGGTAAAGGTTAAGGTCCTGTGAAATACATGCGCTTTATTAATGTTAGTACCCTCTATACTTTAATTCCCTAGTAAACAATTTAAGTTGTATTTTTAGTAGCTGGGCATTAACACAGAGAAGAGGTTGAGAACTAAGCATGAGGGCCCCAAATCACATTTGAAGCTCCCTAGGGTTTTTAGCTTTTGGACCAAATGAGGACTGATTTGGATAATCCCCAGAAGAAACTTGAAGAATTCCCATAATGTTGGGCCATTGATAGAAGGGCTTAGCCAAATGCTTAGTGATCCTTAGCTATTGATTAATAAATAGAAATTGTTATGGTTATTGTTATCATCATCGTTATGATAACTTTTGATACCTGCTGTTCCCTTAAAAAAGAGAAAACATGGAAATGTTTAATAAATGGAGGTTTATTCACAGACTCCCATTCAAGTCACCTGACCCTAGTTGAAACCATTGCAAGGATAGAAGACAAAGGCGGGATACAGGGAAATGTCTTTAATTCCTTGTGACTATGTGATCACTTACTCTCTTGCGTGGAGCTCTGGTGCCTACGGTGTGCGATATGGATTGATTTCCTCCTGCTCCCCTGTGGGCTGGTCAAGCCTGCCTCTCCAGTGCTCCCTCAGATTCACATCTCTCTGGGCTGCTCTGCCACTCTTTGTTTGAGTTGTAGGCTTCATGGTACTTTCCTCAACAGATTTCTACTCATGAGAAAAAGATATAAATAAAAGGAAGATTTCAGGAAGAGTGATAGATGTGCATTTGAAGAATTTTGGTTTTTTAAATGTCTTTTTCTGCAGAATGCATATGATGAAAGCAGATATAATAGTTTGCTGCTTTTCATGGCCCTCAGTTTACTTTGGGGCTTCTGGCAGTGTCTGGAGAGGTTTTTCTATCAAGCAGGGATCGATGCCCCTATAGCTGTCTGACACAGTTGCCTTGGTTTTTTTGTTTGTTTTTTTGCTGTGATCTCTCTGCTTGTGTAAAATTGAGTTTGTTAGGTGAGTTTTTAAAAAATGTCCTTGTTCTTTTCGTAAACGTATTGTTCCAACTTACCATGATATTAGATGGTCTTCGCCCTTCAGAGACAAATACTGAATTATTTTTTTTTGTAGAAATTATGTTGCTGACTCATGTTGCTTTCCCCACGTAGTCATTTTCTCATCTGTCTAAAAAGAAAGAAGAGCAAATACATAGGTGGTCATAATGTCTGTTTTACACACACACACACACACACACACACACACACACACACACACACACACACACACTGATATTCTTAATGATATTATGTATGTTCACTTTATGGATGTTATTATATATAGCTGGTTTTATATACTTTTGTATACGTTAACTGGCTTCTATGGGGAGGGAGGTGTTAGAAGCTACCTAGGCTCCCCCCGCCCCCCACTCTGTTCAAACTTCTAAGAAAGCAAAACCATGACAACAAAAACCTCCTTTCCAACCAAATTGTTATTTTTGAGAGTGGAGCATTTTTATTTAGATAATGAATGTAGTAAACAATTCAAGGACAAAGTAATAGAATTAATTGATGGATGGTTTGGCCATTTAAGAAATACGAGGGTTCTTCAAAAAGTTCATGGAATGATTCGTATTATCTTTCAATTCTATTTTTTTTTTTTTTAAAGATGAGCGGTAAGGGGATCTTAACCCTTGACTTGGTGTTGTCAGCACCACACTCTCCCAAGTGAGCCACGGGCCAGCCCTCAATTCTATTTTTAAATGGTCTCTTTGAAGTACCTTAGTATAGGTCGTATTTTTAATAGCTAACGATTAAATATTTCACATTTGTCTAAACTGTTGCTCATTGTTCTTTCTATCAGCATTTTAATCTATCTCAAATGCATGGAGTTTACGTAGGTTTTAGTACCAGACCTGAGAGTGATGACTTGAGTATAGGTGTTTGTGTTGTGAACGAAGCCGTAGCTGATTTAGGTCTCAGGTCATGAGAAGTTTGCTTAGTAGTACATCTTTTTCTAAAGACAGCAGAGCTGTAATCATTGTACTTATTTCCGTCAAGAATTATGGATTATAATTTCAGGTATACTCTTCTTTAGCAATATTATATTAGTGGGTTCCTTTCTTTTTTAAAACAGCTCTATTAATGCATAATTCACATACCATACCCATTTAGAGTGCACAATTAAGTGGTTTCTAGTACTTGTATATTATCAGAGTTGTTCAACCATCACTACCATCTAATTTTATAACATTTTCATCCCCCCAAGGAGAAACCATATATTCATTAAGTCACTCTCTATTCCTCCCTTTCTGCCAGCCTTTGAAAATCTCTAATCTATTTACTGTCTCAGTATTTGCCTATTCTGGACATTTCATATAAATGGAGTCATATAGTATGTGGTGTTTTGTGACTGGCTTCTCTCATTTAGTATAATGTTTTTGAGGTTCACTCATGTTATAGCATGTATTAGTATTTCATTCCTTTTTATTGCTAAACAGTATTTCATTGTATGGACATGCCACATTTGTTTGTCTGTTCATCAGTTGATGGGCATTTGGGTTGTTTCACTTTTAGCCATTATAAGTAATGCTGCTGTGAACACACATGTAGAAATTTTTGTGTGAACATATATTTTCAGTTTTCTTGGGCATATACCTAGGAGTGGAATTGCTGGATTGTATCATAACTGTGTTTAACTTTTTGAGGAACCACCAAACTGCTTTCCAAAACAGCTGCACTATTTTACATTCCCTCACCAGCACTGTATGCGAGTACCAATTTCCCCACATCCTTGCTAACTTGTTATTGTTTGTCCTTTTGATTTTAGCTGTCCTAGTGGAATGAAGTAGTTATCTCATTATGGTTTTGATTTGAATTTCCTAATGACTAATGATGTTGAGCATCTTTTCTCAGGCTTATTAGCTGTTTGTATATTTCTTTGGTGAAACATCTCTTTAGATCCTTTGTCCATTTTTAAATTGGGTTATTTGTTATTGAATTGTAAGTGTTCTTGTGCTTTTGGTGTCATATCTAAGAAACCATTGCTTAATACACGAACATGATGATTTACTCCCATGTTTTCTTCTAAGAGTTTTGTGATTTTAGGTCTTACATTTAGATCCATGATCCATTTTGAGTTAAGTTTTGTGTATGTTCTGAGGAAGGGGTCCAACTTTATTTTTTTTATGTAGATGTCTAATTGTCTTAGTGCCATTTATTGAAAAGACCATTTTTTTCTGATTGAATTGTCTTGCACCCTTGTTAAAAATCAATTGACTGTAAATGTAAAGGTTTATTTTAGGATTTTCAGTTCTATTCCATTCATCCATATGTTTATGATTATGCCAGTACTACACTGTCACAATTACTGTGACTTTGTGGTTAGTTGTGAAATTGGAAGGGTGAATCCCTTTAACTTTGTTCTTCTTTTTCAAGAATATTTTAGCTATTCTGGTTCCTTTACATTTCCACATGTAATTCAGGACAAACTTGTCAAATTCTGCAAAAAACAAACAAACCAAAAAAAAAAAAAAAAAAGAGAGAGAGAGGAATTGCACTGAATCTGTAGGTCAATTTGTAGAGTATAGCTATCTTAATTATATTGTCTTCTGACCCATGAACATGGGATGGCTTTCCATTTATTTAGATTTTTAATTTCTTTCAACATTTTTGGGAGGATCTTTTTATCTACATTGTATACACCTACATCATTGTCTTCTCCAGTGGGGTCTGATTTATAATCCAGGCAGGAGAAGACAAAGAAATGCACTGTTAAGATGCGTTGTCTATCCTATTGGAGGTAGTAGACTTTCAACAGGAAATTATATCTGGAGGCTTCATTGTGTTGCCAAGAATTACCTGACCGAGGATTGTTAAATCCTAGGTCAAGTTACCACCAAGTAGTACTGGAACTTCATTCTTTGGAACAGTTTAAAAACAGAAGTATTGTTTATCTTTCTTGGGTTGTTTGGGTTCCAAGAGGTAATCCAGTGAACATTTTGGAGCACCAGACAGCTAGCTCCAGGAATTTATTCTCTGTCCTTTAAGTTTTTAAATTTATCTTTATTTGATGTTTAAAATATAAAGAATATCAAAAGGCAAACGGTGACAAGTTCTCCTCCTATCCCTTTACCTCACCTACCAAGTCACCCTTTAATTCTTACACAGTATATCTTTCCAGAGTTTGCATATGTAAATAAAGCAAATATGAATATATATTATTCTTTAATTCCATTTTATCAGAGGCCTTAGAGTGTATATTTTTTCCAGCTTTATTGAGGTATAATTGACAAATAAAAATTATCTATTTACGATGTTTTAATATATATGTACATTGTGAAATGATTACCACAATCCAGCTAATTAACATACTCATCACCTCACATAGTTACCTTTTTTTTTTTTTTTTTTTTTTTTTTGGTGATGAGGATAGTTAAGATGTACTCTCTTGGCAGTTTTTAGGTATACTATACATTATTATTAACTATGTATAGAGTGCATGTTAATTGAGAGTTCATAAGAAATAAATTTATAGTAAGTAGATTTTAAACAATTTTAAAGTAATTCATACTTGATTGGTTTGGGTTTTCTTCATATTAGTATAAGTGAGGACTTCCCCCATATGTGAGTTAAGAGAAATCTCGATCTGTTCATTAATAAAATTCTCTTATTCCACAACAGGGAGGCTAATTTTAATCAGGGTTGGACACCTTCTGTATGAGAGATCCTGGCAAATATACTCACTTGTCAGAACCTCTCTCTGCATATGAAAAAGTACATAAAGGGCAGGTTTATTCTTGGCTGAATGGACAAATGCTATGCAATTCTCTGATTGAATCCCAATCTGGATTCAGATTTAATGTATGATCTATACATATTCCTTGATCTGAATCATTATTTTTTCCTCTGTGTAAAAATTTCAATACAAATTAACTTATACCACATTGGGAACCTAAAAAAAATAGTGTTAAATGTCAGGGTTTACTGAAGACAGAAATGTTGGCAAGTAGTAGCTTTTAAGACATATTCATCGTATGTATACATCACTTAATTTCTATTCCAACCTGTATAATTCATTTGCTTTTCTTTTCCAAGAAGACATCTGTTAAAGACATGGCTGACTTTCCTGTCCCTACCCAAGATGTGACTGGTGATGACAAACAAGGTATGAAAAGAATGTGTTTTCTTCCTTTTAGGACATTCTGCCTTTGTTTCCTTATCCACTTCTCTTGGAATGGCTGGCTTCTAGAGCATATGAGGACAGTTCTCAGTATATAAACACATTTGGGTAGATTAAGTAGTTCAAATTATTGTCATAAAACTATAGTTCACAAAGTGGCAGCCAGAGCTCGAGTGTCTAAAGCCCTCCAACTCATTGGCCCCTTGGTCACTGCTGACCCTCAGGCTATTCTGATACTTCACATTGGAATCTGATTGTATGAATTAGGAAATGGCTGGGAGCTGAAAGAATTGAGAGCGTAACATCTTGTGTTGGCAGATGTGATTCCTAGAAGGTAATCTCAAGGTAAATACACATTTGCACACAGGTCCAATCCATGAGGAAGTCATCTTCTGGACAGAGCTTATGTCCCTGGGCTTTATCTGTTTCTCAGTAGCTTTGTGGGGGTGTGGGGGTGACGTGGAGCCCAGCTACAATTTGCCTGTCTTACTGGGTTTCTGAGAAGCAGTGACCTGGGAATATCTAGCAGCATAGGAGGGACCCTCTCTCCACTCCCTATACTTAGTATAATGCTTTATAATCTACTAGGTCCTTCCTCATACACTGTCTTATTCATTCCTCACAAAACTGAATGGAGGCCGGTATGTTTTATCACCTAAAATTTAGAGATGAGTGAATTGAAGTTTAGGAATTTGCTTAGTAAGAAAACGATCTGGGAGAAGAACCGGTATTCTCTCTGTTATCTCATACTAATTCATTGTTCATGAATGAGAATCTGAAGTGACTAAAAATCAGCAAAGCTACTTTAGTCTTTATTTTTGAGACCTGTCATTGATTCAGCCTTGTAAGGGGGTTAAACATGAAAAGTAAGTTTTCCATTAAGAAACAATAATTGCATGCTCTCTAAATACTTGCTCAGGAGAGGCAGGTGGAACTGGACATTTCAGCAGCAGGTACGCTGATTACTCTCCTAAGTGGTGTATCTTAGCGTTAATTGCACAGTTGAACAACTGGGTGAGCTCTAAAAATGTGGAAACCTGGGTTTTACTCCCAGAGATTGTCATATCATTTGTCTGGATGTCAGGAATGAAAGAGGGGGAAATTCCTGATACTTCCTAGTAATACTTCTCCTAGCCACTAGAGGCGCTGTCTCTGGAAAGTTGAAAACACATCTTTGCTCTCTGTAGAAGAACCTGTTTTCATATGCTACAGGGTTGTTATTGTTTTAGTAAATGCTATAGCACCTTTTAGAGGTTACCAGGTTTGTACTCTTTTTGTAAGAGATGACTAGGATTCTTTGTTTAATGTAATGTGCCTCAGAAATAAAATTTTACAAATTTTTCTTTTTCTTTCTTGTCCTTTAAAAACAAAACAAAACTGCTAGCTTTGAAAAGTACTGTCAATGAAGTCTTACCAAAGGATGTGTCCGAGGACCCAGGTAGGAGAAAACCATTTTGATATATTTTCTATGTAATTATTTCTAATTTTAATAAAAACAGTTTCAGTGAGTAGAAGATTGCTACCTCTGTGACAGTGTGTCTGTTTCTCTCTGAATAGTTGTCTTGTGTTTTGTTACAAGGAAACCTTTTGTCTTTTTATCCTTTCCTTCTTTTCAGGTATGAGAAGAGGGTGATTTCTTTTTAAATTCTGAATTTAGGTTTTACTGAAAGGATCCCTCAGTGTGAATTTAGGGACTTATTAGTCAGTGTAAAATTGAGAGGGCTTGGAGTTGAGATGATTTCAATAAGCCGTTGTGGTTTCTGTGTAGAGTTAGGAACTAGTGGGGTAGATCAACTGGAGGCTCAGAGTTGATATTTTCCATTTCCAAAGCAAATCCTCCAAATATTTCCATTATACTTCACCACCCAGAAGGCAAGTATATGTGCTTATACATGGAGTAGATTCCGAGAAGAAAAATAAAAGTTGTGCTTGTCTGGTTTCTTGGAGAGTCAGAAGTGTGTCTGTAGAACCGTGGAGAATGGCTGGGCCTGTGTCCTCAGCTATCTTTTGATGGAGCCACCAATGAAACCAAGATGAACCTAGTAAAAAAACAAAGTGGCTACGGAAGGCATTACTATTTGGAGCTCTGGTTATGAGGACATTCTCTTTTACTGTCATCTCTCTTGCATATTTAATAAGTAAATCATGTTTGTTGTGATTAGCTAGCTACCACCCCAGGCTTATTTGTTTAAAGTTGGAACAGAGGATTCAGTATAACATTGAGGTTTATGCTGTGGTATAGTATTTTCCAAACACCAAGTTCATAAAAGATTTAAAAGTAGGAGGGGTAGAGGGGGGTGTTAGAGGAAGGAGGGAGAGAAGAAGTGGGGTGGGGGAGAGAGAGAGAATATGGGTAAGAATATATGATTAATTTTAGTCATGGAGGCCTGAAAGTCTGTATTTTTAGGCCTCTCCTCAGGTGATTCTGGTGTGCAGCGTGTTTTGGGAACCATTACCTCTAGAAGGCAATACTGCAAATAGGAAATTAAGATTGTAGATCAGTCATGACTCCAAAAGTGGTGGGAATTCCCAAGCCTAATTCTGACTTTTGAAACTGATTTGGATTCATTCATTGCAGGGGGAAAGTGCTCTCTTTGTGTAGGCCAAATGCCTGAGGTCAGTTCGTTACAGCTGTAATTTCTGGAGCTAAAATGGATGCATTCCAGCTTATGACAACTTCATGTTATGGTATTAGTAAAAGCTATTTAAATTTGGAGTGTTAAATTGGTGCTTTTCCAACAGCCTTTGAGGATCATAACTCTGTTTTTTCCCAGGGATTTTAGCATGAGATCAAGTGTTCTCTGGGGCATGAGCTTTAGATCTCATTTTTAACATTCCTCTGTTGACTAGGACATGACATCACCAAACAAAACCTAACAGGTGTGCTGTGGTGCATGAAGTATATTTGAATTTATTTCATTTTGTGCCTGGGAGCATGCTCTGTGTTTTCTGATTGGTTTGTTCCACTGCTGCCCCTCTCTGGGTATGAGGGAATACCTTATCTCTAACATATTTAAAACCTCCTTTCCTGGGAAATATCTGAATTCCTAGTGGGAAACGCTAGAGTTTCAAGGTGTGGTGATTTATAATTCTGGATAGCTGTCCATGCCAATGGGCAGTTCATCTCAGTTCAGTTGCTGCCTTTTGAAGGGTTAATCTTAGGCTTGTTCTCTCTTTCTCTTCCCATTTCCTGGAAAGACGACATGCCTGGAGTGTTGTGAGAAGTCATCATTCTTCCCTCTTTCCAGCTAAATGAGAAGCTGTGATCCGTCTGTTGGCTTCTGCTTGAATTTACAACACAGTGTGCCCTTGCCACTTTTGCAGATAATCACATTCACCTAAAGCTGAGTCTGACTTTCAGGAGCCTGGAGGCTGATGAAAGAGTTAACTAGAATAGTGTTGCCCAGCTTTTTTTAGTCTGAAACCTGTGGAGACTTACCAAGACCTACCTGGGATATATTTTTGCAGGTGGAAAGAGAAGCAACTTCCTGCTCTGCTCTTTCACAGTTGTTGTTGGTGGTGGTCATGATGCTGATGCTGATGGTGGTGGGTGATAGATGGGGTGGTACTATGTTATCAGGGAATGGGGAAATTCCTTGTTAAATATTTTTTATATGCCTTTACTTTTTTTTTTTGTCTTTACCTTTTTAATTGCTGAAAGTGTATATATTAGTGGAATCTGAGAGATTTCTTAACCAATGCTCCACTCCAACTTAATTCAACAGAGCACACTGCACCATGGTGATCTTTTTCTTAATGTCTCTGGGTCATGCTGAGGTGTTTCAGGCTGGCTCACCACACAGTGTGGTCTTCAGGCTGCTGCTGGTGGTTCTAGCAGCAGCTCCATTGCCAACTGTCACCCATGGCCTTACTGGGGAAGAGCAGATTGTAGCGCTAAGGCTAATGTCAGAGTCCTGTCGACACCGCCAATTGTAGAGCTAGGCTAATTTCGGCATCCTGCCAACTTAGCCAATTGTAAAGCTACATGACTACGCCAGTTGTTGAGCTCTTTTACTTGCCCATAATCTTGCCAGCTGGGCCAATTGTCTAGCTAGGGCTGGGTCTGGAACTCACAGAACCCTCAAGCCCCTTCCAGACTGGGTCACGAACCCTTCACATGCCAGGCTGGGTCCCCAGACCCCTCACACGCAGGTCTATGACCTAGGTAACTGGCAAACAGGTCCCTGAAGCTGTAGGTTGGAAAGCATGGCCGCGTGGGCAGACACCCGAGGCAGACGTCAGCCAACTCGTGGCGCTGCACATGTGTACTAACTCCACCCCCCCAATTTGTTTAGTGAACCACCCCCAACCGGCTCTGAGGTAAGAGGGCCTGATTAAATTGTTCTATTTTCCCAACACATTTCTCTCCTTCCATGACCTGCTCGTGCCTGTGCCTGCTTTGCTGTCCCAGAAGAAATTAGATTTAGAAACCAGATTTCCAAGTTTGAGAATTAGGAGCCTTTATCTATGTACTCTACAGCAGTAATATTTTGCAATTCTAAAATACATTGTTTTCAAAGTACCTTCACCTTCTTATCTGTCCCTGTGAGAAAGGGGCTGCATTTTTATTTTCTTCATTCTGTAGGTGAGGAAACTGAGGTTCAGGGAGGTAACAGCTGGTTAGTGTCATGGCCAGGAGGAGCATCTAGGCCTCAGGACTCCTGGCCTGGACTCTGTCCTGTCTCTCCATTGCTCCTCCACACCCTCACCCCATCTGTCTGTCTGTCTGCCTATCTCTCACCAGCAAGGTTCACCCCTCCTTCCACACCCATTCCTACACCAGCAAAAAGACAAAGATAACGGCAATTGACAAAGCAATTAACTGTCACCATGGTCTGGTTTGGGGAACAGTATTTTAACATGGATGGAACTTCTGCCCGTGTATTTCTTGAAAGCAGTGGGGCCTGAGGGAGAAGAGAGACACGGAGCCAGCTGTGGGCAGGCTGCTCAGAGGGCTTCCCCTAGCTCTGTGGTGAGTCTGGGCACACTCTGTCCACCGAGCCCCAAGGTAGCCTCCTTGGCTGGAAGAGAGGCTGCCCACTTAAGCTGCCTTTGTTTGCTGCCTGGGATTTGTTGAAGGGAGGGAAGTATTTTTCATCTGTATCCAGATGAATGATAATGGGCAAGAGGGGACTTGGGTTCCTTGGGCTTCCCAAGCTTTTCAAGGCCATGGCAGCATTTCAGTTGTTTGAAGCCGAAAGATGCCTTTATCCTCACTACAACAAGCCCAAATGCTTAGGATGGGAGAAACGCTTCTCTTCTGCAGCTGACCACATGTAAGGAGAATATATATTGGTAGTCTGCTTTATGCCTTGTTAGCATGTATAAGGATTCTCAGCTCCTGTTCTGCCCTGCTTATCTAACCCAAGGATTTTAGTCATCATCATCAGTTCAGGTTGCTTCATACCAAGGAGGGTTTTTATCTTTGGAGCAATGTAAAAGAAGGTGGGATAATGCAGTGAGTTTTTTTTTGCGGGGGGAAGAATTGGTGAAAACAAATAAATTATATTCTCCTTGTTCCTTGCTAGCACTTTTTCTATGAATTTTTATGACATTTTATCATGAAATATTTGCAGTGTTTCTATAGTTTTTTGTAGAGGACTGAAAACATAAAAAAATGGATTAATATTTTTGTAAATGTTTCTAATTACTCCTCACAACTTGTGATGGGAAAGTAGGCTCCATGGGTGTTGGTAGTGAATAAGTTAGTTTATGGTTTAAATTTGATGAGGAAAATTTGTATGATTGATGAAATATTTCAGTGATTTCATTCCATAATATTTCCTGTCTGATTTGGTCACAGAGATATGGGATGCAAGAATATTTTCTTCTAGGATAAGCTGCATAGCTCATTTCAACTTACTTGTGGGAGCTTTGCTTCTTGTAGCCATTCCGCTTTGGTAGTATATTTTAAGAGAATGTGTAGCTGTATAGATTTCTTCCTAGCCCTCAGGGGAGACTGGTTCAAAATCAATTACTAGGCTATCATGATAGACCAAGAAACCCTCATGTGTGAATCCATCATTACATAAAAAGACAACCCCTTGAAAGTGTTGTCTTTTTAGATGGGAATGTCTTCATAAATCAACTTGGATTTGAGAATGGCTTCTCAGATAGTGTTCTGATGAAAGGAAAAAAATGCTGATTTTTCTTAATTTTTTAATTATGCCTTTAGCTTTAGAAATAAAGTTAGGAAATCATGAAATGTGGAAACCATCAGGTTCTCCACGTGGGCATCTATACCTCATATTTACCTGTTGATGTGTTCTATACTAGCCCAGGTGCTGCATATAAACCTGTATAACTGCAGAAATGAAATCCAAGCAAACAACAAATAATCTTTGTTTCAGCAACTCCTAAGGATTCCAACAGTCTCAAAGCAAGACCAAGATCCAGGTAGTGTTTGTTTAATTTCTCCTTTAATGCCCTTTGTGTGCTATCCCTGCCTAGAAATAAAACCCCCAAACTCCAAACCCAACCCATAATTTCCTTTTCCTTTAGATTTGAAGCTTAGGATATTGGCCATTTCACTTGTTGTGAGTGGCCTAATTGGAACAGGCAGTGGTGCTGGGGAGCCTCTTAGTTTACATGGTCATTAGTTCTAGAAGATGGTGGCTGATGCTCTGTGGTCCCCTGACATGAAGTGGGTTGTGTGAGATGACCCAGTTGTGGCAGGATGATAACGAATAGGGGGAGGGAAATATGGGTAAAAGGTAACCAACACTGAAGTTTGCTCTCATGACAAGGTGAACACCAAAAGGTAAGAAGTCTGGGACTAAAATCTAGAGTAGGGAAAGAAAATGCTTATGGTGACTTCAGTGAGGCTTGAAGCTTCAGGTAAGCAGTGCTTATGGTCTGTGTGAGCCTATCTTAGTGCCTCTTCTCAGCATCACATTTTTTTGTTAGAGGCTGGTAGGAGAGGGGGATCCAGTAAGGCAGAGAGGAGCAGCGGAGAAATACAGAAACATGAATGGAATTAATCCATGAAAGAGGGGAAGTGGTATTGGGATGACTTTTCACGAGTAGAACTGCAGTGTTAGACAGGATACTATGTGTGTGTTTTCTTTCCTTCTTTTTTGGGGTAGCTGGCCAGTATAGGGCTATATGTGTGCTTTCTAACTTTTGCTTTGGCTCTTAGTGACTTTTTTCCCTCATTTGGCTACTAGGCACATTCCTGAAAAAGTGAATTTAAGTCTGATCATATTTTATATGCTTGAAATACTGACATTTAAGGAAATCTCATCTCTTTGATTAACAAAGTTACCCCTTAGTGTATCTTTTATGTCTGTATTTTCCAATTTGGGGCTTTGTTTCTTTCTTTATAGAAGGTATAGATATCTATGTTCCTATTTTTAAAAACCAATAGAGTAATACATTTTGGTAGAAGGAAAAGTTATGGTCATCACATTTACTCATCCTTTCTTTAAAGGGCGAATGGATCTTTTACAAGTTAGTCTGTACTAGCTTTGGGATGTGGGAATAGTAGTATTTATTTGCCCCCATAGTAGGAAAAACCTTTGAACTGCAGAAATTTGCTTATGTGTACTATGTTAGCCATAAATTGGACATCACAATATTAGTTCCTGCCGACTTCCTCTCTTCCCCAAAGTGAGTGAAATTTCAAAATTATATGTTCTATTATTAATGTGCCTGGCTAAATATTATATATTATTTTTTCAGGGGTTGGTCTCCTGGTCTAATTTGGATGATTTTATTTTCACTGCTTCCAACGGGGTCTTTCCTGAGACCAAGAGAATCAAGTTATTTTTATCCTCCTTTTTAAAATAATAAAGCTTTGTAGAAATGTAAGGGAAAGAGGGAAAGTCACTATTCTAACACTATCACGTTCATCATTTTGTCAGTTCCCTGCACGTTTATGTTTTAATTGGTTGCAGTCATGGTTATACAGTCTCACTTATTTGGTATTCAGTAACTTTCCATGTGAAAATATGAAAACACAGCTTATCTATGGAAATAAAATGGAAATGAGGTATGTGGTGTGAGACAGTATATGCTTAACCATATGCTAACATGCACACGCACTATTTATACACACACGTTATTCTTTCTTCCTTGAGTGAATGATGTCACCAAAGCTATATGTGGCACAGAAAGTTCTTTTAATTTCTAGCTAAGGTCTCTAGTTTCCTTTTTTAATCAAGAGTTTCCATTTAAAAGCCTTGTCCTTTCATATCAGTTCCCTTTGATTCTGGCTGAAAGCGTTAGAGCATTCTTCCTTGCTAGTTTCTGCCTGCCTTTGCCTCGCCTGTCTTGCCAGCTGTGTTACAGGGACCACCCCAGAGCACGTTACATGCCATTTTGGTGGCTTTCTTAAAGATTGCAACCATATAAGACAGATAAAACCCTCAACTACAATCAAAAAACTTTGAGAAACTTATTCAGGAAAATAAAAACTCACTATGTCAAAAACAGTTCTGCTGAGAACTGAACGGGCTTAACAGTAATTAATAGATTCTAATTTTCTGAGAGCCACTCTAATAGCTAAATATGAAGAACAGTTTTCTGAGGTTATCTCTAAGATGCATCTCTGACTCAAAGGTCGTTTTCTGCTTTGACATGAAATTAGCTGAGAAGCTGAACAGAATGGATGTACACATCCACTTCCTAGGTCCTTCTCATGATGCTGGAAATCTGTCCTTAAACCTTTCCTAAGCAATAGACCAATGTGTGGATTTGCATTAATTTAGAAAATAAGTAGGTCTTCAATAAATATTCCAGCAGCTACCGCCAACAGATTTCTTCCCTGGCTCATAGGCAGTGTAAGAACATTTTAAAAATGTAATTTAGAAAGAGAGAGAGACTAGAGTTTGAATTGAACCTATGTAACTTTCTAGCTATATGACCTTTGGCAAGATATTTAGTTCCTTTTTTCTTTAAATGTCATTATTGGAGTTACAGTCTCAGAAGTTGCCTAGTTAGCTGTGCCTTGCTATAGACTGAGGAAGAAGGTTAAGATGAGGATTTTGCTTTGAAAATTTCCCATAACACGTATTTCTCAGGGCAAGACAAGCTAGACCCCTCAACCTGATTGATGTGTGTTTTCCTTTCCTGAATTTTACTTGTGTCATATTCCCTTGAACATTTGATTCTTACCCTCAGCTTATCTGCCCGAATTCCATTTGTGCCTGTCATCACATTTGCAAGTAAACAGAAGAAAAGTTCTGTAATCAGTTTATGAAACGCTTCTATTAAAACATGGAAGTATCTAGGTTGGAGGGTTTTACATGTTATTGTATTAACAATTCCAATAGAAACTGATTTGAATTTACACAGTGCTTTTTTTTGGTAAATTTAGGTCAAAGGTATAATGAGAGGAAAGACGTTAAAAAGACCTCAATTCATAGTTGGATTTGGACAATTGTATATAGTGGTGTCCATGGGATAAGAGAATTTATGGCTGCTTTGGTAGCTCTTTGACTTTGGGGGTATTTTCTGTTTCAGCCCAACTTCAGAGAGTAAAGCTTTGTTGTTTCCCTTCTGACGTTCCCTTATTTTGCTGCAGATCTTACTCTAGCACCTCCATAGAAGAGGCCATGAAAAGGGGCGAGGACCCTCCCACCCCGCCACCGCGGCCACAGAAAACCCATTCCAGAGCCTCCTCCTTGGATCTGAACAAAGTCTTCCAGCCCAGTGTGCCAGGTGAAGTGCCTTTTGCCCCCTGAGCCCTTCCCTTCCCTTCCCTGTTGGAGCCAGTGGACGTGTGTCTGCCACAGAGGCCTTTGTGAGTCTGGAGAAAGAGCAGACCTGGCAATGTCCCATTCCATGAGGGCTTCATGTTGCTATGCTGTTCATGGGAGGGAAAGAATTCTAGACAGCTATACAGCACATGTGTCTGGAGCCTCGCCCACACTTGCTATGGATCATGAATTATGGAATTCTCTACCAAGAGGGCAAAAATGCTTCAACCTCAGGCAGCCCACTGAGTGTGTGGCTGGAGTCTTGTTCTCTGCATCATGGTAATTTGTAAACAAGATCACCATCTGTCATTTCCTCAGATGCTTGTGTGATTCTCCTGTGAAAGATCTTGGTGATCAGCACCTGGCCAGAATCTTCTCCTGCATTTTATCCTTATGGAGAAGATTCTGTGTCCTGTAGGGTTTAATGTTAAGGGGGGTTGCTGAAGGGGTCTGGGACAAGGACCCCTAAATGTGGGCTGCCATGGGCCTTCTAGGAATGGGCCTTTCTTGAGCCAGCAGCTGCAGCTAGGCTGGAGGTGTGGGAGGCCAGGGGGGCCTCTGTGCTCCCCTGGCTCCCTGTGAAGTGGGAGACATGCTCCTGGGGAACCTAAGGAGCAGAAGATGACAGCCATGTCTTTGCTTTAGTGAAGGTGATAGGATACAGCCCTGTCCCAAGTGTTATTTTGGGAGCAGCAAGAGCCTTTCCACTGACTCATGTGGACAAGCTATAAATACAATAATTTCCTGGAACTTTTTCTATATCTATGTGCATTTTAAACCAAGCCAATGTCGGATGCTAGTGAATTGTAGATTATTATCTTTTCTACTAAAGCAAGAAAAGACTCTCCTTGGCTCACACATTAGCATGACCTCTGTGTCTAGGTAGAGCTCAGCATGTTTTATTTGTTCTAATAAAGTACTCTCCTCACAGTAAAGTTATAGATTGTTTTTTAATATACTAAAATCGGGAACTCTCTATGAAATTTGATCCTGTGCCATGAGTTCATCAGACAAAAATTTGCCGTGAATTTCCCCCTGTACTTTGATCCAAATTCTGGCATAATTTCATAGTAACTGGTGTTTAGGGTAGGAGTAGCCATGGGTGATGATGCTATAAAAGTTTCTCAGGGCTGGCGGATTATGACCTAGAAGATTTTTCTATGGCTGCAAGAAGATTAAAACAACCTGGACAGCTATCTAAATACCTTTCCCTTGCTAAGAAGGAGGCTAGAAATGTGCAAGCATCTCTCAGGTTGGGTAACTCAACAAGGAGCTACCAGCTGTGTTTGTGAGTTGACATGCTGTGGCTTTTACAGTATTGTGGTATGTAGTGGCAGAGACAAAACTGCGTGTTGAGCTCAGCTTAGCTGCTTAGTAACTGTTTGCTTTTCAGCAAGTGGCTTAATCTTTCTGTATCTCAGATTCCTAATCTGTAAAATAGGGCCAATGCTCCATGGAGTTATAAGGTTTTGGTAAGATAACTCAATATGTACCTGAGGCCTGTATTCCCATGGCTTGCAAGTACCAGAGCTTTAATATCCCCAGGGGCAACCGTCAACCGATGAGGATAAAGCCCCTTAATTCCCTTGACCCCCAGTGGACAGTTGTTTCTATCTTCATGGTTCTTCAGAAGGCTCGGCTTGCAGAGGGACTAGACTCCAGCCGCCTGCTGTAGTACCCCATTCACCAACACACCTTTTCCTGGCTTTCTTCCCTCCTGCCCTGTCTCTCTTTCCCCACACGCAAATAAAATAGCTGTTCTTAAGTCCCTGCCCCAGGAGCTGCTTTAGGGAGAACCTGAATTAAGACATGTTCCTTTGACATCTCCAATGTCAGTATGACTTCAAGATGGGAAGGATTTTGGCTTGATAAATGTCCTGATGAGGACTTTTGTGACAGGTCCAGATAAATTCAAGATTTGGACAAGGAATAGCTAGGCAGGTGACATCTGTGTTCATAGCCTAATTCCATTGTCTTTTCAGTACAGATATACACAAATGAAATTTTATTGAGCAGTTTAAATTTATCACGATAAATAGAATGTTTCTGCAGTATGAAAAACAGGTGGTATAATTGCATCTACTTCATTTGTTTGCATGTTAGTTAATTCTCACAGGAAAGTACAAGGGTGTCTAAATCATGTAGCATTTTAGTGTATTGCATATTGGTAGAAATTAATTATTAAAATTCTGACAAACTAGAAACACATGAAGAAGAGTCCAGACCTACCAGGAGAGTGCACCCAGTGAGAACCGTGGTGCACTTACAGTAACCCCTTTGCTGCCCTGGTCTTTATATATCGCTTTTGATAAATGGGATCACACTATGCTTGCTCTTCTGCATCCTGATCTTTCCAGTGAACCAGCTTTCTGTTTTGTGAAAGAGAACTACATTGTTTCTTTTGATGCCGGTATGATATGGAGGCACCAAAGTTGATTGTGCATTGATGGAGATCTCTCTCCCTCTTCCCTTTTCTCTTCCACATGCTTTCCTCTCAAGCTCACCTACTACCCTTTTTACCCAACCCCCGCCTGCTCTTCTTGCTCCTTTCTCACCCTTGCAAGCCTCTCTCTCTCCTCCTTGTGTCTGTCTCACACCCCTCTCTCTCCTCCTCCCTGCTCCTCTTTTTCCTCCCCTTCCCTCTCTGCTGCTCTTTTTGTCTTTCCTCCTTTGCCCCCCCTTTGCCAGGCTCCTCCACAAGCCCACTTTGCTCTTATATTATAAGCAAGGTAGAGGTTATTAATGATTTCACATCCATATCTTTGTTTTCTCGTATAATTATTTTCTTGGGTTAAATCCTACATGTTGGAGTTGCAGGGTCAAAGGCCAATTATGTTTAAAGTGTAGATATATGTTGCCAAACTGTGCTGTAGAAAACCTATCAACTTACCGCACTGCTGACATTGTCTGAGAGTGTTTCCTCACACCTATGCCAGCACTGGTTAATGTTCATCTTTTTAGTCGTTACCTATATGATAGGCAAAAATTTGCATTTCTCTCACACCTAGTGAGGCTAAGCATCGTTTTATATCGTTATTGGCCATTAATATTTCTTCTTCTGTGAATTGCCTGCTCAGAAGGCTCAGCCAGCTTCTGTTGCTACATCTCTCTTTGCCTAAACACAGGGGCTACTTCTCTCTCCTCCATTTTGCCTGAGAGGTTCTGGTCTTCCCTTATCTCAGGCACTTGGGAATGTGAGAGTGACCACAGGGAAGCTAACCTAACCTGCTACAAGGGGTCCTTATCCCTCCAGCCCCCTGCATCCCCTCCTTCTGCCAACTGTATCACTTAAGACAAACTCTACGTGGGCCAGGTATTAGTCAGGGTTCTCTAGAGAGGCAGACCAATAGGATATGTTATAAATATATGAGAGGGAATTTATTAGGGGAATTAGCTTGCACGATTGTGAAGAAAAGTCCCACGATAGGTGGTCTGCAAACTGGATGCCAGTAGCACAGCTCAGTCCAAGTCCGAAGGCCTCAAAGCCAGGGAAGCTGATGGTGTCCTTGGTGTAAGTTCTGGAACCCAAAAGCTGAAGAGTCTCGAGCTCTGATGTCCATAGACAGGAGAGAAGAGTGTATGCCAGTTCCAGCAGATAGAGAGAGAGAGAGATTCACCTTTTTTCTCTGTTTTTTATTTTCTCCGGGCCCTCAGTCCACTCAGACTCTCATACTAATCTCTGCTGGAAACACCCTCATGGACACATCTAAAAAGATAGCCCTACCAGATTTCTTGGCACTCCTCAATCTAATCAAGTTGACACCTAGAAGTAACCTTCACAGGCCACTTTGTTTATAACAATAGATGAAAGACTTAAATATAAGACCTGAAACTTTAAAACTCCTAGAAGAAAACATAGGGGAAACACTCTAGGTTTTAGGACTGGGCAAAGACTTTATACGTAACACCCCAAAAGCACAGACAACAAAAGAAACAATAAACAAATAGGGTTATATAAAACTAAAAACCTTCTGCACAGCAAAGGAAACATCAATAGAGGTAAAAGACAACCCTCAGAATGGGAGAAAATATTTGTAAACTACATTTCCGAGAAGGGATTAATACCCAGAATATACAAATAGCTCAAACAACTTTACAGGAAAAAACCACAAATAATCCAATTCAAAAATGGGCAAAGGAGCTGAATAGACATTTCTCAAAGGAAGACATACAGATGGCCAACAGATACATGAAAAAATGCTCAGCATCACTAATCATCGGGGAAATGCAAATCAAAACCTCTTTGAGATATCACCTCATCTCAGTCAGACTGGCTATTATAAAAAAACACAGAATAACAAATGCTGGCAGGGATGTGGATAAAAGAGGAACCCTTCTGCACTGCTGGTGGGACTGTAAGTGGGTACAGCCATTATGGATAACGGTATGAAGGTTTCTCAAGCAACTACAGATAGAACTGCCATATGATCCAGCAATCCCACTATTGGGGATATATCCAGAGGATTGGAAAACATCATGTTGAAGGGATACCTGCACTCCCATGTTTATTGCAGCTCTATTTACAATAGTCAGGCAATGGATCCAACCTAAATGTCCATTGATGGATGACTGGATAAGGAAATTGTGGTATATATACTCAATGGAATACTACTCAGCCATAAAAAAGAATGAAATTCTACCATTTACAGCAACGTGGATGAGCCTGGAGAAAATTATCCTAAGAGAAACACTTCATGTTCTCATAATAGGGAGCTGAATCCATAAATAAACAAATAATAAAGAGAGACAGTGAGAGAAAAAGAAACAACAATTGCAGTAATACATTGAACTTTTTGAAAGAAAAGAACCATGGTTACTAGCGGTGGAAAAGGGGAGGGGAGGGAAAGAGGGAGGGGGGCTCACAAGGAATTGGTTAATGGATGCAAAGAAAGATTGTGTATTGTAATGATGAATAAGCTAACTATCCTGATTAACTGTCACACATTGTATACAACTATTGAA